AACGAAGTATATTTCAGTTTTACTGTTATCGAAAGTATATAAATCCGAACAAAATTACAAGTATCCATGATTTAATAACTAGTAGAATGTTTAGAGTAGCTCACGAAAGTATTCGAGCAGTTATAAAAACTTTTTATAAATGCATCATGTATCATGAAATTTTATTGACACTGTATTGAGACAGGATGTTTATAATTAGTCAACTTTAAAACATATTTAAAAATACATATAGAAATTACGAGACATTTAACACAAGTGCCACGACAGCCACAATCCACTATACTAACAAGTCATTTTATTTATTATATATGCGTTTATTCATTCACGTTATACGTGCACACTAAATATGTTTGCAATGTATATCTCATAATTTCTATATACATTTTCAGATTGGTCCTAAATTTTGTCAATGTAATCATGACTAGATTGCAAACTGATTTTCATGCAAATTTATATTTTTGTAAAAGTAATTTAAAACAGTAGATCGTAGACAGAAGTTCATATATTAAATATCATAACTGGCATTATATTTTCGATATATATATTATATATTTTATATTTTATATATTTTTATATATATATTATATATTTTATATATATTATATATTATATATAATATAATATATAATATATATAATATATTTTATATATTTTTTATATTTTTTATATTTATATTTTATATTATTTTATATATTTTTACGTACTATGTATACGCTCTTGAACACAAAAGTTTTCTACAAATACACAAAAGTCCGCAATAATGCAATACAAATCTAACTCCGTCTCAACATTGGTGTCAAGAACATTTCGAAGTTCATGACACATAAAAGTCCTTCCATACTTTCGCGAATCACTGATATAAAACACCGGTATGGCAAACATAAATATACATAAATATACTTATGAGCGATCCATAAAGGATTAACAATGCATTCTAGATAGATGGTAATATTTACTTGGCTCGAATGAATCGAAGAAGGAAGTTGGGGGGGGGGGGGCAAAAAAATGTCGATTACTGGGAAAAGGAAGGTCTTGTCCTCGCCTGCAAAGGGTGCAACGTATTATCATCCCCGTGCTGTTTTGCAAGCATTCATGGTCAGCTGGCTGACGTTCGAACGAAAGTGCCGTTGCATAAATTGCCTGTACATCTCAATTCACCCCCCGGGATGGTGACCATTCTCTTACACGTCGTGCTCCTGAGTGACAATCTCTCACCCCTCGATGTACGACCTCCCTCCTGCGCACTCGCATTACCGTCCTTTTTGCACCCCCTCATCTGATAAAGCCCGATTCCTCGTTCAAACCTTTTGTACCCTCGCTTGTTTAAATTCGGCCTCAAGAATATTACCGAAATCGTTGTAAAAATTATTGCCCGAGAGGCAACGGCGCTCGCAGAGCTTCGACGAGAGGTTAATTGAATGAATTGGGGTGAAAGATCGCAGGTGTGTCCGATTCTATTTGAAAGTTACCAAGGTGTTTATACGCAGAAATTGTATCAAGTTTGATTCGTTTGGACGGAGATTTGATTTCAAATAAAATGAGAAATAATTTGAAATAAGTGCGGCGGAATAAAAGACAAAGAATTGAGATGACGAGTTATTTTCATTAATTCGTTATTTCCAATTTAAAAATACGTAATTTCATCTCGTCTCTAAATCGAACAATCTTTTATTTGAGTTAATTCATTGAAACGGAACAAGTAATTTCACTAGAAAATTACAAATTATTTGTGAAATTATTTTTACAAACAAATGCAAAATACAAGTTGTCGATAAATATTTGATAATTAAATTATTTGCAAAGATTATTTCAAAATAAGTTGGTTAAATAAAATGATGATATTCTTTAAATAACCATTTCTCGAATTAAAATTCATACTGAAATAACGATTATTATTAAATATTTATATCCTCTTGTGCTGGAATGACGGGAATTTTTTGTCCCAAATTGCAACATTTTCTCAGTCTTATGTCATATTTAAATGTAACCTAAGCAAAACAAATGATGAGTTGAATTAGTTTTTAATAGTTTAATAGTACAGTGCTAGTATTATATTTAATATATATTTAATAGTATAGTATAGTGTCATAGTATAATATAATAGTATATTATTAATATGATATTATATTTAATGTATTTAAGTATAATATAGTATAGTATAATAGTATACCATGATATTATATTTAATAGTATAGTATAGTATTATAGTATACTACGATATTATATTTAATAGTGTAGTATAGTAATTATAGTATGGTACAATAGTATACTATGATATTATATTTAATAGTATAGTATAGTAATTATAGTATGGTATAATAGTATTATATTATATTTAATAGTATAGTATATACTATGATATAACTACGATATAACTATGATATTATATTTAATAGTATAGTATAGTATTATAGTATAGTATAATAGTATAATATAGTATTATAGTAAAATATGATAGTATAGTATAATAGTATAATATAGTAAAATATGATAGTATAGTATAGTATAATAGTATAATATAGTATTATAGTAAAGTATGATAGTATAGAGTATAGTATAATAGTATAGTATAGTATTATAGTATAGTATAATAGTATTATAGTATATTATTAGTATGATATTATATTTAATAGTATAGTGTAGTATAATAGTATACTATTAGTATGATATTATATTTAATAGTATAGTGTAGTATAATAGTATACTATTAGTATGATATTATCTTCAGTAGTATAATATTATAGTCTTAATAGTATCTTCCAGTAATATCATACCGACGAATTCAAAAGAAAAAGAAAACGACAAATTGTACACGGTTATGGTCCGCGAACCAGTTGGGGGGTTTAACTTTAGCCGATGAAACTCAAATTTTCTTCAAATATCAAAAACTAAGGGAAACTTCTATCGTCCCATAGACGAAAAAAAAAAAAAAAAAAAAAAAAAAAACGAAAAACGAAAATGATATAAAATACTACTAACAAACAACTGTTACTGGCATTAGAAGGAAATGTCTCTACAACTTCGTTTGAACCACCAAAAAAATCAAAAGGAGAAACGAAAACAAATTTTCGTACCACCGCGAAGTTGAAAAAAGGAGAGAAAAAAAAAAAAGAAAAAAAGAAAAAACGTGCAAAGAAGCTCGTGGCGAAAGTCAACTGTTATTAACTGAAATTTCAACACAGGCGTTCCTCGTTTCTGGCGCGTGTAGGTATATGCGTGCGCGATGTTTCGAGAGGGGTTTGCAGGATGCGAATGAAAACCAGTGGGGGTAGAAGGAAAACTACCACCATTGGTGTCGACCAATCCCCGTGTTGAGTCGACGTGGTTCTGTCAGCGCATGTGCATCCTCTTTGGTGGTGTCTTTGGTTTGGGTACCGCGCGCAAGGCCGCAGACCTATCACTTCTTTGGCGACAGCCGTCAGGGTAACATCCTTGTTCTCGTCCTAGTCCTTCGTCCTTGCATCATTTCCCCGACGTAACGAATACCAAAGTTCTCCGCTCGGTCCCTTCGGTTTCAGTTTCCAACTATTTCGTCGTCTTCCCGTTTCGCTTTTGTTCCACCGTGTTCGTTCGTTCGATTCGTTTCTATTTTCTTATCTCTTCTTCCTCGTTCGAATTTGTTTATCCTCGTTTGACGATCCTCCTCGATCCCGTTTGGTTCATTTTCACCGCTCGTTCTTCTTCGCCGGTTTTCTTCAGGGGAAGGTGAACTGATTTTTGGTTTCGTTACTGTCATCGAGTTCTCTCTTTTTCGACATTTTTCTGTTTTTTTTTTTTTTTTTTTTTCTTTTTCCTCGTAACTTGGGTGTCGGTTCAGTGTCCTCGGCTTGGAAGTTTTGAAGACTTCTTTCGAGATTTACTTCTGTCTTGGTTCTTCAAGTTTCTGCAGGTAACAAATTTTTTTTTTTTTGATCTCCCGCGGTTTGACAATCTTGTCACGACTTTGTTTATTTCGGTTGCACAGAAATTTCTTTTCTTTATCATTTTCTGTAAATCTTGCGTATTTTTGTAAATTTCCAAAGAATCGTTTCTCCTTGCTCGCGAACGCCTCGTTTGCTCACGTGGGTTCGTCCACGTTTCTTCGTATTTCGCGTGCAGTTCGTTTTCAGTGTCGCTTTTCGTAATCGGTGCAGAACAGAGGGCTGTCGCGACCGGAAAACATCTCTTGTGCCTTAAATTGCCGTCCAAATTCGACCTGGTGACAATAAGCAAACGCTTTCATTTCCTCTCGTTTCTTTTTTTTTTTTTCCCCTCTTTCTTCTTTTTCTTTTCTCGTAGAAAAGGCCGTCCACGATCCTTTCGTAACTCGTTGGTCGGTCAGAGCCTTAACGAAACTGTGATCTTTTTAACTGATCGAACTCGAAGCCGAACGAACTCTGTTCGCCGAATTCTGATCGAAAAATTCCGCTACATCTTTCGAGCTTACTTTTACGAATTGGCTTCGTGCCCGCCGCGCGCGAATCAGTTGCCTTAAAGGGGTTCGGTCACCTTGGCTATGCAAAATTCATAACATTCTTTCCCAATTTTTTTTCTTATAACTGAACGAGGAGACAATTTGCGATATTATATACATCTCGAGGGATTGTTCTGTATTTTTCTTTCTCTTTTTCACAAAATGGCTAAGGTCGCGGTGTCATCGCAATGCACGACTAGTTTGAACAAACCTGAAACTAAAGTTAAGAAGAAAACAGATATTTCCAGTTTAGCGAAACATGTAGGATTTTAAAGCAACGTTGATTTTTTTTTTATAAAAATGTCTATGACAGAGAGAGTTTGAAATATTTAAAAAAACTGTACGTGTTTCGATTTATATTGTTACAAGAGAGAAAGTAGAAAATATTTACACAGCCGTCCAAATTGGTGGTGCATTACAGTTTGTCCATTTTGTAGAGATAATCGTCAAGATCTGTGTGTAACAATAAATTTTCCTTTAAATCAGGAAACAATTGTTAAATGTTGCTATGAATTTTACACGCTCAATACGGCCAAACCCCTTAATTATACTAGACTTGTACTAATTTTCGACTCGTCCGTCCTCTCCTGTGCCTTCTGAACTTCTGAAAACTTCTCTCACTCTCTCTCTCTCTCTCTCTCTTTGTTCCTTTTACTCTAAAAATTGAAACGAGTATCAAACGCGCGCTCTTTTCCACCACGTACAACTCGTCGCAAAGATGGGAAAGAAAATTTCTGAAAAGTTTGTCAAACTGCTTTGTGACGTTTCGTTCGCAAATACAGCGATCGGCAGAAGAGACTCTGTAATCCGGATGGAAATCGAGACGAGCCAGTGCAACACGAGTTTCGACCGGTGAGTAACAATTGCGTGTGTATGTGTTGCTGGTATTTTCCAACGCGTACGTATTTGTAGTAATATTAGTTAGTAATTTTATTTCGTTTCATCTTTTCTCTGAGTGTCGGTTAGGATGAATATTTTCGTTCGTTAAATTGAATTTTCGTTGAATTCCATGAAATCTGTTGTTTTTTATGAATATTGGTTTACCGAGTTGGTTATTTATCAAGTTTTATTCATTAGGGACCTTTGGTAATAAAATATAAAATATAAAAAGAAAATTGTATAATATAAAATTGGATGGCAGAAAAAAATATAAAAATACAAAATATAATAGAAAATTATATTTGTATAAAATATAAAAAGACAATTCGATAGTAATTTCTGTATGAAAAGAAAAAGGAAAAAAAATTGCGAGAAGTATTCTAATGAAAATGTCGATTGAAGAATTCTTTATGGATTTATTTCGTGTGTTTGCAAGTGTTTTAATTTTGATAAAGAACATGTTTATATATATATATATATATATATATTGGTTATGAAAAATATTTATACAAGAAAGTATCTTTTTTCTTTTTTTTTTTATGTTCATGGTAGTGCAACAATATTTGACATGAAATATAATAAGCAAAATAAATTTGTGGTAAATGAAATATATAACTGAATTCAGTTAATTATGTGAATGATAAATACACAGTGTTGTTACATTTTGTAGCTACTGTAATTTTTGGGTTTTCAAGGAGGTTCACTGAAAGTTTCGTTACGTGTACATACACTTTATATATGGTAAATTAAAAATGTTCTAATTTTAACACAAACATTTTATCCGCTGTTGATACGGAAGAGAAAGAAAAAAAAAAAAAGGAAAAAGAAAAATAAGTTTGCTGGACAAGCGAACAAACGAGACTCTTTCATACGAACAAAGCAATTGATTGCCGTGAAACAATCAAGATAGGGAACTCAATTATCAGGGGAGATGAATCGCAACAGACGATCTGGATGGTCGCGATATCAGATAGTATAATGTGGGGGTCAACTTTCCTCCCTTCTCGTCGAAGTCGTCGAATAGGCAGAGGGTAGCAATGTTCACAATAGAGGGATTTTCAGGAGTATATTTTTTAGACCACAATTAAACCGTTCTTCCGGATAAATCTCGTCAACCGAACCTATGCTTTTGTGACTAATTAGTGGCTTGACGAATCGCAATTACGCTGCGTATTGTGTTTCACGTGTGTCACACTCTGGAGGAGGGTTGAAAAGTATAGTATAACTTGCTGAAATTTAGGGTCCGCGGTTATTGACCGTAATAACCGCGTGAACTCAGCAATTACTCTACGATTGATCTTTATGCAGGAAGTAGCAATCGCGTTCTTATATTTACTTTATAAGTTTCTCAATCCTGTGTGTAGAATTAAATCTTTCAAGGTTGAACTAATTGTAAGAAGAAAATTATAAAGTTTCAATGTTTGTTCGATATTTTATGACAGGAAGCTTGTTTTGCGTAAACATTCATTTTTCCTGCGTAGAATAATAAATATTTATTTTATATAAATATCTGTTTCCTTATTTTTTGTATAAAATGGCAATATAGAATATTAACGAAAATTATTATTTATAAATTTTGTGGCAATTGTACATACATATGTCTAATTAGAAAATTTTATTTTACAACGTGATTATTTTATGTGAATATCTGTTTCCTTATTTTTGCAACATAATGACAATATTAATAGAATTAGAATATAATGCAGAATATTAATAAAAATTACTAGTAACGTCATTTATAAATATTATGACAATTTTATATACATGTCTAGTGATCCTTCTATAGAATAACAAAAATCTACACAAATAATTTTGTGATAATAGGAATAATTTATACAAATGTCCATTTTTCTATCCTTACGTATTACTATATTTATATAAAATAACCTCGTGCCTGGTTACAGCATTGCCGTAAAACAATTAATCAATCAATTCTCTCAATCTCATACAAATATTAAATATTGTAAATAGATATATAGATACAAAATAATTCGTTGCAATCAAATTTTTCATGGAAATTTCTATATGTCCTCCGTTAGAAATATCATTACATCCTCGATCATCAATTTCGAAAGTAAGAAAAATCAGGAAACATTTATGGATAATCCTAAATCCGAAATAAATTCACCAAATTTATCCGTTGTTCATTTCCTTCGAATGAACGAATTTACCCACGCAATGGATTACCTCGAGCCCGAGGTCGAGGTCGAGGTCGAGACCAGTCCAAAATCCATCGGCCCCTGTCCGTCGTTCTGAAAATTCCCTCCGATCGTTTCCACGCCGCAGAAACACCGGCAGTCCCCACTTCTCACGGATGCCCGACGAAAACAGAGAATTTTGTTCCAGCTCGCACGTTGTTCGAATTTTCCACGGCTGGTTTACGGGGGTGTGTTACTGGGGCAGTAGTGCGCAGAAGCTCCCGAGCGTTCCCGGTGTGAATTCACCGACACTCTCGTTCCTCGTCTCGTCTCTCCCCACCCCACCCCTAATCCTCGCTTCGCTACCCCTTCGCTCTACCATCCCCCATCCCCATGGCACGAGGGGTGGATCCCCAACAATCCTCTCTCGGTTACATTCAAGTCCGAACCGAGATCGCAACGCATTCAGTTGCCGATCGCCAGTGAAACGACGCTGAGGCGTCGTTCGTTCTGCTCGGGCGTTAATTCGGATGGCACGCCGCGTGCCTTTTAATCGGTTCGTTCGCGATTAGTCGCCCGTTCGCTGGACGATCGCATTGACGTTGACGCGACGTTGTGCCCGGTTTTGTGAACGTTCCTCGCCTCAGATTTGGATCCTCAGCTTCGACGTGATCGTTCTGTACGACAGTACAGATATCGCGTTGCCTCTGTTCGACGCGACGCGACGACTCGTGGCTGGCTTCCGGTCCAGCCCCATGGTGTAGACGGGGCGACTGATGTGTTGCACGTTACATATGGTATTTTCACGGGATTTTCTAACGTTTCTGTTTTGTCGTGTTTCCTTCATTAGCTTTGTGTTTTTTTTTTTTTTTTTTTAAATTTAATGTGTTGGAAAGTTTGGGGTAGTATGGACTTGTTTCAAAGGTTGTATTATAGATTAGTTAAGATTTTGTTTATATGAAATGAGCTTAAAGTAAGTTTAATTTCTTCCACTATTATATATTATATTTATATGAAATAACTTCTTATTCTTATAATTATTATATATATATATATATAATTTATTCATATTTATATTTATTCGATTTGCTTTAGATTTATTTTCTAGTTCAAGTTTGTATTTATTTTTTTGAATTTAACGTGTTGGAAAGTTTGAGGTAGTATGGACTTGTTTCAAAGGTTGTATTATAGATTAGTTAAGATTTTGTTTATATGAAATGAGCTTAAAGTAAGTTTAATTTCTTCCACTATTATATATTATATTTATATGAAATAACTTCTTATTCTTATAATTATTATATATATATATATATAATTTATTCATATTTATATTTATTCGATTTGCTTTAGATTTATTTTCTAGTTCAAGTTTGTATTTATTTTTTTGAATTTAACGTGTTGGAAAGTTTGAGGTAGTATGGACTTGTTTCAAAGGTTGTATTATAGATTAGTTAAGATTTTGTTTATATGAAATGAGCTTAAAGTAAGTTTAATTTCTTCCACTATTATATATTATATTTATATGAAATAACTTCTTATTCTTATAATTATTATATATATATAATTTATTCATATTTATATTTATTCGATTTGCTTTAGATTTATTTTCTAGTTCACGTTTGTATTTATTTTTTTGAATTTAACGTGTTGGAAAGTTTGGGGTAGTATGGACTTGTTTCAAAGGTTGTATTATAGATTATTTAAGATTTTGTTTAATTTATGTTTATATGAAATGAGCTTAAAGTAAGTTTAATTTCTTCCACTATTATATATTATATTTATATGAAATAACTTCTTATTCTTATAATTATTATATATATATAATTTATTCATATTTATATTTATTCGATTTGCTTTAGATTTATTTTCTAGTTCACGTTTGTATTTATTTTTTTGAATTTAACGTGTTGGAAAGTTTGGGGTAGTATGGACTTGTTTCAAAGGTTGTATTATAGATTATTTAAGATTTTGTTTAATTTATGTTTATATGAAATGAGCTTAAAGTAAGTTTAATTTCTTCCACTATTATATATTATATTTATATAAAATAACTTCTTATTCTTATAATTATTATATATATATATATATATATATATATATATATATATATAATTTATTCATATTTATATTTATTCGATTTGCTTTAGATTTATTCTCTAGTTCAAGTTTGTACTTATTTTTTTGAATTTAACGTGTTGGAAAGTTTGGGATAATATGGACTTGTTTGGTTGTATTATAGATTATGATTTTATTTAATTTATGCTTATTTATAATTATATGAAATGAGCTTAAAGTAAATTTAATTTCTTCTATCATTATACATTATATTTATATAAAATAACTTCTTATTCTTATAATACTTATATGCATAATTTATATTTATTTATATTTATATTTATTTATCCTCTAGTTCAATTTCTTCTCTCTTTCACGATTTGAATTTCCGTATTCTCAAGTTTCGTTTCATTTATTTCACTAAGATTGATCTTTGCAATAAATAATTCTCGTATCTTTTGTATCTCATATTTTGTACTTTTATACTTTAATATTTACGTGAAATAACGCGATCAGCGTAAATAGATTCGGAGGTTAAATGAGAATCTCGAATATACGTGAACCCTTTATAAGGTAGCTTCAGTATATCGTGTGCAATTTCTATTCATGAAGAAATAAAACGCTTCATTTTCTAGTTTGGAAATGTCTCAAGAATATATCACGTGGCCTCCTTACTTATGTCAGTAAATATCTATAACAACAGTTCAATTATGATAACACGATTTAAACGCAACATAGACACTGTATTACGAAGTAATAATAACTCTTGGGACGCAGATT